GCGGACTTCAACGCGCGGGCGCGGCGGGAGCTCAAGCACCGCCTTTCCACCGGCTGCACCCGCTTTGAGCTTTTCTGCGAACAGCTCAAGGAGTGCACGGCGGAGATGGCGCGTCAGGGGGAGGTGCCGGAGCTCCCGATGCCCTCCCATTACGCTCACCATGCCGCGCGCGGGAATCATTTTAAACGAGCTTCTTCAACCACCGGAAATTCTTCTTCTCCGTCCTCCTCTCCTCCCACAATAACGGCGACAATAGAGACTACAAAGATGTCCTCGAAAAAGGAGGAGAATTCCAATCCCAATAATAATCTTAATGACAACCCTACCAAGGTGTCTACCGAGGCCACACCCACCAGGTTGCGTATCAATCAGAAAAGCGCCTCCACACGAGTTAAGAAGGGTGTCGAAAAGCGCAGCGGAGGGCGAAACTCCTCTGCAAATACCGCTTCCTCTTTCACTTCTACAGCGGTGGTAAAAAAAGCAACGAAAAAGGCATCACACAAGAACGGAAAGCCTCACACAGCCTCCATGCCGCGAGTATCCGCTTCGATTCCTCTTCCAAATATTCAATTAATCGTATCCCGTAAGTCAAAAAAGCCGTCTACGACTACAGGAAATACCACTACAAAAGTGACCGTAAAAGCACCTCACGCGGCTCAAAAAGGAAAGGCAAAACAAACGGCAACGCGCGCGACAAAGGAGGCTCGGACAGTTTTAAAAAGACGCTCCAATAAAACTAATAAGAAATAGTAGTATTATTAATAAAAAACTCTTGTACCTATATATAGAGCGAGAGAGATAGAGAGGGTATTTGTAATGCATATTTATACATAACTGCAATTTGCATTTTTGTTTAGATCGGTGTGATGAAGTCATTTAATGGTATCTTTACGGAGACTCCTTTTTTTAGACTACGCATAGAGAAAAAAAATAACAAGGGAGAAGAAGCTCTTTTTTTAGCTTTTGCTCCACATTGAAAACAATTTATTGGTGCGAACACTTCAAATAATAAAAAACACAATGCAATAACTTTCCCTTTGATATTAGACTTATAATATCTCTATCCTAAGGGGTGCGTTATATCGGCCCAACCGCTATATCACATATTAGTTTTTATTTCCCTTTACTTCTCAAGCAAACGTGTAGCCTTCTCCTTCATCAAATCGATTTTTATCAGTTCTTTGAAAGTATCAAAAGTGAAGACTTTTTAAACCAAAATATTCTAGACTCCACTACTAAACCCCTAAGGTATTAATTCCTTGCTTTACGATGTGGGGGTGTATGACGGCCTTGAGAAATCTGTAAGACAAGGATGACTACGGCTTTTTTTCCATTCTCTCGGAAACATTTTATCGTGCCTAGCAAAGCAATATGAATGAAAGAGATTCAGGAATTCATCATGAAAATTCTTTTTAAAAGTTGTCATCTGGTGATGAATAATATTTGGATGGCAAACCTGCACGCCACGAAGCGAGTTTTATTTTTCCAAATCAAGAACCCTTTCTCCTTTTTCGGTATATTGTTCCTCTAATATCAAATAGTTTACCTGTAATACAAAGGGAAACATAACTGAAAGAATCCATTCTGTTTTCCGAAATAGTGAAGGCAGGAGCTGTGGAGTTTGCCACAGGTTCGTATCTATAAACTGATTGAGAAAAAGTTAAATATTGCCTTTTTATTTTATGTATGCCCAACAGGGCGAATTATAATTCAACCACGCATGGGTAAAAACCGCTCGGTTGGATCTTTTCAGCGGCTTTCGTATAAATAAACCACTAAATACTATACATAAATATATAGATATCCATATATGTATATATATTATTTATTCATTTATTCTCAAACCTGTAAAAGTTTATGATGTCCTGTTGTGTGTGCCGTGCTAGTATGACGGGCCGCGGGTAGTTGTTACAACTCCGTCCCCGCCCAACCTCTGTTCTTTCCCCTAATCTTCCCTTTTTAGTGTGGGTGAAGCTTCTAACTGGAGTATTACGGGACAAACTATCGCTATCGACCTCGCAGAGACCCGGCGGGCAGGCCAATGTTCGAAATGCATGTCATTCTCACCGAGCTGCAGTACCAGCTCCTGGTGGAGCAGCAGGAGGCCGTGGTGGCGCTCATTCAGGCCACCACAGGGGCCAGGATGGAGATCCTCGCCCCGACCCAGAGCGCGATCATCACCGCCGCGAGCGATTTGGTGCTGATCGCTGTGGAGGTGGAGCTCAAACGGGTGATCTCCGCCCTGATGCGCAACGCGCGGCTGCCGGAGCGGCCCCGCCGGCCTGCCTTCTCCGCCGTGGAGACGTTCCTTCGGGTGAATCAGACGA